TATACGAGTATATACTTTACGCCTAATTAATTTTTTAAGATTATTATTATAACAAATTGTTTTTTACTTTTTTAAAATTATATGATTATTGTGTATATAGTGTATAACCTTAGCTGAACTCCATTATGCATTGCATACAAAGTAAGTACATAATAATATATGTATATAGCTTGTATATTCACATAACAAATAATATTTTCTTTATACAAAATGTTGAATTTTATTAAATTAGTCTTTTATGTCTCCTACGAAATTACTTATCATGTTTTGAAGTTTATTTTCAAATACCAAAAAGAAAAATGTCTTTTGACTGTGTCTTTTCCTTTCTTTTTCTATTTCCTTTTATGTATTTATTATAATGTATATATAGATATGTATATTATAATTTTGTTGTTGTTTAATAGCCAAGATTTCAACCTATTTTCAACTTTTTGACATTTTTCGTTACAACCCAACAACTTGTATTATTTATCGTTTTCTCCATAAACAGTTAATAAAATTTGTTATTCTACTATCATTTTGTAACGGTATACATGTTTTTCTTTTTTGTTTTTTATAGAGTTATAATTGTTCAAATATAACAATATGATAAGTATATTATTATATTTGTATATTATAAAATTTATAGAATCACTTAAAATTATTCTTGTGTAAATTGTGCTCCTAAAAGTATGTATAACAAGATTATGTTTTTATCTACTACCATGCTACTATACATATAATATATTGGTAGACTATTTAGTTTGTACGTTTTATGGTATAATAAAAAATAATAAGGATCAAATTTTCATTATTTTGTAGAGTTCTTCATTACAATGATCGACGAGTAGCTGAGAAATTTCATTTTGATCTAATATGTAAATGTCTTAAGGTTTTGAATAATGCTGAACAAAATTGGCATTTCATTTACTAATTACTTAATCAAATTATTCTAGCCAACATCATATTTAGTCGTGCGTGCATTGTTAGTCATTTGTACTATTAAAATTTAAATATGCTTTATTCCAAATATGCTATGAAAATTCCAAATATGCTTTAACATAGCTAATATGCTTTTATTATAACTAATTTGGATGGAATTTTGTGCATTAACTCAAAAATAAATTGCTACCAAAGTTATAAATTTACACAAATACGCTAAACGTAGAGTTTATGAAATCTAAAAATATATCTAGACATTTCCAGAAATTTTGATAAATATCTCAATCTGTTTTTAGGGGTGCAAAATAAAAATATTCTACAATTTACGTATGTAAACATTGTTTATTACTTACATATAATGTATGTATATCAATTTTAGATATACACAATATATACCAACATTTAAATAAACAATACAGCAATAAAATAAATGTTAAACATGTGATTGTTGTCATCTTAAATGTCTGTCTTTTAGATTCTGTCAAAAAATTATTGTTATTGTGTTGTTATATTATTATATGTATTTTTAATTGTATGTATTTTGTTTTATAATAGCAACATACTATTATTAACAAATATTATTATGTACATATACTTATATATCAATATAAACATTTACGTTATTATTTTAGTTGAAATATTATCGAAAACGTACAAAAACATAAATTACATATAAGTAAGTATTGTTGTATCTACACTATATTCTTTGTTTTTTATAGAAAATGAGACGGTGTAGATAAAGGAGAGAAGTGTTTTTTAATGAATTTTTAGTATTTTTGTCTATTTTTTTGTTGAAAAATCTATAATAGTATTTATTTTGTAAATAGCAGTAGAATTAAATTTGTCAACGTACAGAAATTTATTCTTCTACGTAAATGAAATATATGTACTTATATATGTAAATACCTACATATGTACATACGTCAGTACATTATTTATGTATGTATTGAAAAGTATTTAAACAAAATTTTAGACTAAGTCTATAATATGAATAAATAAATCAATCTTTCTCTCTTTGATACATTTCAAAATAGTAAACTTGTGATAGTGAGTGTGTTAGACGTAATGTAGCACAAATGTTGTCACTTAAATTGGTGTTTCTTATTACATTTATTACATATTTATTATTAAATAAAAAGCAAGGATTTACTTATACAATTGGAACGAATGGCATAAATACCTTATATCTTTAGTGCATTTCTGTAAATTTTTAACGTACAGAGTCTAGGAGACAATAAATAGAATCGGAGAAGAGACGTAGAATTTTACCATAAAATTCTACTACAAAATAATCATAAAATTTCACATAACTCAACAGAAACTCACAATTCAGTTTAAATCGCATATTTTCAGATTTTTGAAAATATTTTAGTGGAATTCTTTACAAATTTTATTAAAAATTTATACGTGATCATTTTTTCAGTGATCATTAATTAAAATACCCAGTTATGACATAATTAATAAATAACAGATTAAGTTCGTTGTTAACATATTCATGAACTTCAAAGGAGACACCTTATAAAATTTCAATATTATTGTAAAAATGTACAAATAATTTAATATTAAAATAAATTGTAATTTTTATATACTTATAAAGAGAAATTTAATGTTTTATTTGTTTTACATTACATTTACATAAATTAAATATAAATATACATAATATATAAGTATATGCGAATTGCATATTATGTATTTAATCTATGTACTTACGTACCATATAGGCATAAATTTTGATTGTTTATTGAACCGTAGCAATTCAATTGAATAAATTTTAAACGTGATTTGAAACTATGTAGAAAAGTTTATTTATAATAATGAGACTGGAATTGTAATAATTTTACAACAATACAAGTATATTTACATACTATATTTACATATGTATATGTACTATGCGTTTATTATTATGCTTTGCATTATTATACGTGTAAAATTAAAATTTATTACACAATATCAAATTCGGGAAAATTGGCATAATCTCTTTATTTATCAACATTCAAAAATATAAATTAGTTGGAATTAGAAAATTTTCTAGAATGGAAAATTTACTATTCAAATTATAAAAATTTGTACATCTATACCTATATACTGTTAGATTGACCTATTTTATTTTAATTCATTTTTAATTAGAATGTATTCATATTTTAAATAACAAAATATAATATCTTATTGTCAACAGTATATAATTATTACTATTATTAAACGGATAATTTTATAATTATAAAATATAATATTTTGTCTTTGTTTTAATTAGAAAGTTTGACAGAATCATATTTTTAGGTTAAAATCACATTGTGTTATTATACATATACATATGAATTATATTCCCATGATCTAGATATTTAATTGAGTACATAATCCGATACCATTTGAAATTACAGTCTTTATGTATGAACTATTTTAAATTTAATTCCTTTAATGTGGGCAACACTATTATTGTATAGAATAAAATTTTTATAATTGCTTCATCTTATTATAAAGTACACTGTATAAGTCTCTGCAGCCACTGCAATTGAATTTCGTGGAAGGCAATTCTTATTTTTTAACTAAACATAGACTCTCGTGCCAATTAGCGAAATTCAATCAAAACACCTACATATTTTCCACTCCGCTTTATATTTTTTGAACATAAGTGATAAGAATAAAAAATCTTCCCAACTTCAATTAAATTGACCATAAGACGTTAGGGACATTGAAATAATTAACATTTTAATACTCGTAATATATGAGCTGGTTTTTTTAAAAGTGGTTTATGTAACTCATTTTTATCATATAAGTATATTGAAATATTTAAGCAAAACTGTTTTTGTCTATTTTATGTCTATTGAAATTGTGATTGTAACTGTCAAGAGAAGATGTCTATAGTTCATAAAAATTTCCATTAACTTAAGTCTTTTTAGAAAGTGGACTTTCACCATTTTCATAAAAACCAGCTCATATTTTAAAATTTTGAACTAGCTGTTGATGTAAGGAAAAATTAAAAATTCTATTACAAAACATATCGTAAATATATTAAGAAATCAACAAATTATTATCGTTCAAAAATAATAACAATTAGCATAAATTATTGTCATTTAATCAAAGTATAATATTTTCAAAATGAAAACTCTTGCTACAGTCAACCTGTCACATAAAATTAAAAAAAATATTTTAAATTTTTAAGTTTAATCAATTTAATTGGCTATTTAAATCGATTAAATTGTTTGGAAAGTTTGTTTTTTCCATTATAGCTATCATGCTTACTAATAACGTATCTAATTACCATGATGTCAACATCAAAATAAAATATGTAATTTGTATTTCTTTTGGACATAATTAACTGACCTAATATTTATATTCATATATATATACAAATAAGTATATTTGCAAATATTTATTATCGAGTTTTAAATCAATGAATGAATATTGCAATATATTTAATACTTTTAAGTAGATTTTTGTATTTGGTTAATAAATCATACATGAAATTGAATCTGTTTGTTTTTCCGGTATGCATTGCATGTATAGTTGATATAAAAATTGTGTATATCAATAAGAACGAATTTTATAAAAACTGCTTTTGAATTTAGCTACCTTGGGAGCAGTATTTGAAATAATAATATGAATCGAACAGAAAACGTTTTTAATCGATCGAGAGTTTTGAAAAATTAGTCTAACCTAAAATCTATTATGGCATAATTGTCCTGAACACAATTTCAGTTAAATTTTTCTGAATTTGATTATTGTAATTTACGATTTTTTCATGGTAATAAAAAATTGTTTTCTCTATAAAGTCAATCATAACTAAGTAATTTTTTACTTCAGATTTAAAGTTGAAAATGATGCCAAATTCCACGTATAATGTAAATTTCTCTATAAGAAAATAAAGGAAACAAAAAATTTTTTTTTGATTTTTCTGAATTTCAAGTCCTAGAATTTTGTATAAGTATATTTTACTTATGTATTTGCTCTTCAAGAAATCAAAAAACTTTTTTTTTGACATACTTAAATCAAATATAAATCTTGTATAATATGTACATAATGTAGAAAAATAATAAAGGTTATATATTATTTAATTTACTTGTAAATACTAATTAGTATACCTTGACACTGATAACATGCACGTAAGAGTATTTAATCCCATTGAGCACAGCTAAAATATTGTTGTTGTATACGAGAAAACACATTCCAAAATACGTTGTTGAATTGTAATTATTGTTATTTTAACTGCTTTATCACTTATTTTTATTTATACTAGGTATTATTTTTGTTACATACACATTATTTTCTATTTGATTGACAGATTATATTTTGCTTTTATAAAACAATCATATGACTTTGCAGCTATTAAAAGCTAAGCTTTATTTTTTTCTTAATATTTTTTTCTCTAAAACATTTGTTGATTATTAATTTTTTTGAAAAGGCACTACTTACACTCACATGACAAAATTTTATATTACAGACAAAATTTTAACAGAAAAAAAATTAAACATTTTTTTAATGTAATTAAAATGATATAAAAAATGCTTCATCACTTAATCAGTTATAAAAATTATCATTGCAAACATACACAAAAAAAGAAAAAAACAAAACAAATAACTACGAAAAAATAAATTAAAAACAAATAAATGAAAAAAACTTAAACGTAAAAATATTTTCTTTTGCCGCTGTGTTAACAGCTGCTTTTTAATAAGCGCCGCATTTAACTTTACAGTACGAATGAATTGCACGATCTAATAACAACTACTACTGTCATCATTAATTTTTACCTTTAAAAAAGAGATAATATTATAAGAGACAAAATAGAGGAATAAAATAGAGTAAAAGAAAGAGAGTGAGAGAGTTAATAAAAAAGAGTAAATAAAATAATTCTAAAATTTATTAACTAGTTTGTTGTCTTTTAGTTATTTTTGTTTTCAAACGGTTTTTGAATTCGCCTCGCCGGTTAGTTAAGTGATCGTTTCTATGTAAATTATGAAGTGATACGAATCACATGTAAACACATGTTTACTTACTGTAAATAATTTTTTTTTAATATCTACTTATCAATATGTATTCATAAAGTGCATAATAAATAAGTGTATAATACCTAAAGTAAGATGCGAAAACTCAAACGAATAAAAAAATAAAGATTATTTAAAATTTTCCTCCTCCTCTTTTAAGTATTAAGCCATTATGTTGGGCAATGTGAAAAGCGTTACTGTCTAATTATTACCCAAACATAAATCACGGGAATTGTCTGTTCTTTGAAACCTTTATATATACTTGATCTTCATATATCATTTTTCTTAAAAAATTAACACTTTTACTGCTTTTTTAAGTCAGCAAGATCAATTTAATTCAAAGTGTACACATTATGTACATTCTAGTGTTATCATACCCAATAAAGTTGGATCAAAATAAAATTCGGTCTTGTGCATATATTTTGGCCCTATGGATACAATTTTGTCCTGCGGATATAATTTGGACCTATGAACATAATACGGTTTTATGAATACATGTAATTCGGTCCCTTGAATATATTTTGGTTTTTTGAATATAATACGGTCGCTATGAACAAATTCCGGGTCTATGGATATAAATCGGTCCTATGAATATAATTCGGTCCGACTGATATATTTCGGTCTATATTTTACTATAATTTATAGTACTTACAAAATTATTTATTGATATTATTTATTGATATAAAAATATAATATTATTGGATTATATTTTTTGCGAAAAATAAAACTCTTATCGTCATTAAAGCACATCATAGCGGCTCTTACAAACTTAGAATTTAAGATAAACTTTCAAAAATTTATAAAAAATTATATTTTTGTTTGTTATTTTTGGCTAAATATTTACTCTATCGTTTTTACACGAAAAAAGAGAGAAAAGTACTTATATTATAAGGCATATTTTGTTTGTCTTACGAGCATATGGTGTGACGATCAGTGTTCCCGTTGGGAAATTTTAAAAGGTGCAAAAAAGGTGCAATTTTAATACACATATTACATAACGATATGCAATAGTTCAAAGTATATATTTTTTTTTCAATAATTTCGTCAATTTCGAAACTTTATTTCAATTAAAAGTGAATCTGCTGACACACCAATAAATGGCTTCAGTTACTGGTCTGTGGAATCTTTCATTTAAGAATAATCTATATCACTTAAACTATTATTACCCCCACTTAAAAGGTATTCTTTTTTAATAAATTTGTTCAAAATAGTAAATCTTAAGTGTTTGATTGTTTCATTTAAGGAAAAAATTTTACACTGTTCAGGTTGAAAAATTTTATTTATATAATTATAATAATTTATTTTATAAAATCTTATTTTTAAGAATTATTGCATAAATCAGTTTTGTAATATTTGTTTTAGGTAAATGCAAAAAAAAGTGCAAAAAAATTTTTGCACAAAGTGTGAAAACGGAAACACTGCTGACGATACCGAGAAGAGAGTATTCTCCGCTTGAAAATTTGCCAGATTTTTCGATACTTTCACATAAATAATCATAAAATACGTAGCACAAGATGGCGCTCTTTTAGTCAAAATATCATAGAACAATCAATAAAACATTGCATATAAACGAGAAATGAGATATGACAATGTAACAAATATAAGAAGAGCAGCAGTAGTAAACAGATAGGAGTTGAAAGATAGACTGCAAACATAACCAACTCATTTAGGTATAAAATTTTAAAGTAATAAATAATTTTTTCATTATAATTGTTTTAAAGATACAATTTCTAAGTTAAAGATTTAATAGATATGAAAATAAAATTTCTGTATTATTTATTATAAAAAATCATTGACTCCAATATTTCCCACGTGTATACTCGTAATAACACGTTTTTCATAATATAAACTTTTGCAATTATACGGATTAATATTATTAAAGTTTAACATAAAAACTATGGGGTATTAAACACTAGGAGTTTCCATTTTAGGAAATGTTTTTGTTAAGACCTGCATAATATTTTAAAACTTGACTTAAACAGCTTTGTTAATTTACTTATATTTACTATTTACTTGACAGATATACGTATATTTTGTGTGCAAGCATAAAAATATTTTTAATTTCTTTCTTTTTACGGTTCACCTTAAAGTGAACCCAGTGATTTCAACAAAATGATTACTTAAATGTGGATCTAGTCAATAATTGAATATTCAAACTTTTTTTTAAGCTGTTAGTTAAATATTCAATAGAACTGGAAATTATTTTTTTGTATATTGACGTCTACTAATAAAAATTTTTTTTTTCTTTTAAATTTATAACAGTTCAACGTTGTAAATCATAGTGTCTTTGAAACAGTAAAATGAAAACAAAAAACCAAAAGACAAAACAAAAGGAAAAACTAATTAAAATGTAACAACAGCTGCTGTTGCACCAGCAGCATGATAAATTTTATTTGCAAAGCACTTAAATGTCTTGGTAAAATTAATTGCTTTCATATTAACTAATAGTTGTTTTGAGTTATTGTTTTACACTTTAATCTCTTTTTTTCTTTTTTTTTTTTTTTAATTTTATGTTATTGTTTTCCATTTAGTCTTTTGAGGTGGTTCAACTTAATCATATTTAGCGGTCAAATTGTGTAATTGCAAAGTGTAATTAGAATTTCTGTATAAGAAATACATAAAGATTAATAATATGGTGAAGTATTTTAAATTAGCAATTTATGACATTAAAATCAATAAGCTGTAATGCTAAATTATGGAAATGTTTATATTATTATGGGCTTGCGAATGTACTTACTTGTTTATAATGTATTATAAAATATAATATGCAACTATTTTTTAAGTATAATTTTACTTTTACTTTACTATTGGAAGTAGTTAAATATTTTTTCATGAAACAAAGTTATAAATCCATTTTCGGCATTAGCTGCACTAATAAAATTATTATCATCTTATAAATTTTGAAAATATAATTTTTCTTAGACTTTTAATTATTTACATAATAATTTTTTATATATGTATATAATAAAGGCAATCATATATTTTCTACAAAATTGAAATATTTGATTGGTTATGCCAAAACTTAGAAGAAAGAAAAAAAAGAATTAGGAAACAATCGGCGACCAAAACGGTTCATCTGTTCTAAGAGAAGGACAACCTCAACCAAGAAGCGCAGTGAAATTGGAGATCACATCTGCCAAGAGAGATATAAGAATGCCAAATCTAAGATTACTACTGTGTTTTTTCTTAGAAGTGTAAGGTTAGTTTAGTTTAGTTTAGAGAGGGGGGTGGCAGCTCCAGCGGTGCCACCCGTCACTAGGCCAGCAAAAGACCTACCGGCATTCCTCCACAGCACACACCAACCCCCTAAATCCACTGAAGTCCCTTGAAAAAGCCCAGCAGATGACTAAGAGACGCCTCTGAGAGCTCCTCCAATCTGTCAAACCGATGGATTCAGAACAATAAACAGTCTCCCTACAGGATCCCCACCGCAATCCTGAGATCCGCTCTGCTTAAGGTTAGCAGCTCCTTCGTGCTTTCACCGCTCTTTTTTCGGCCATCGGGCCCTTGTAGTTGCGCAAGTTCGCCCTCCACACCGAAGGAAGTCTCCCCTTCTTCTAGTTTCCTCATCTATATTGTTCCGCAACTCCCCTAAGGGCGGAAGCACCGACCAGTCCATTGCCTCAGTGTTGGCCTCCGCCCCCGATCTGGCCAACTCGTCGGCTACCTCGTTCCCTTCTACGCCAGTATGTTCCTGGCACAAGGTTACCCTACATAGTCCGCATTAGACCCCCAGGGCCGCCCTACTGTCCATGTAAAAGATGATCGGCCCGCCGATACACCGTTCGCCACCGCCGTCTCGACAACACTGACCACCAACCCCACCTCTTCACAGAAGTGTGAGGTCATAACAGGGAAATCCACATCTGAAATTACAGGACCTAAAAAATTGCGGCAGCCGATGGTACCAAGGTAACTTAAAAGTCAAGAAAAACTACCGTAAGCAATTTCAAGAAAATATTACCCTTCTGTTGGCCAAAAAAGAGAGTAGTCGAGGACTTCAGAGCGCGACTCTGAACATTCATTATTTCAGGGTAACTTCAGCTATCCTTGAGAGGATGTTCACCAAAGAATACATAATCATAGCTGCAATATACATGAGCACTTTGGTATATATTCGAGACAAATCGAAAGATTTAGGTTCTATGAAATTGGTCAGATTGTACCCCGAACCCACGTTCTTATAAGAAAAAAAATTGATTATATTTTAAGTACATCACAAGTGACTTTAAATCTATCAAAGTTAGCCCTTATTGTTGAACAACGGGAGAAGAATCACACCCCTAGCAGTACATGGGTTTATGCGACGTTGCAGCAGATCGATGTTGCAGATATCATCGGGATGGAGCAGCTGATATATTAGTTTAGGATTTATAAATATTAAAATCGTTACTAGAATTTATTAATAGAAAACTCAGAAAAATACATAATCGCTTATAGTTATTTTGTTGCATTTTGATTATGCAAAGTTTATTTCCTCTAATCCTCCAAAAATCTTTTCTAAGACATTACTATTTATTTTCCAAGAGAAATATACAGATATAACTACATCTTTTATAGGATTGTAATAATATATTTTTAGTTCAATATATGTATTATAATAACTAAATTCAAGACACATAAGTACTATGCTCATTAAAATTGAATAATTTGAAATATTTACTTAAATTTAGTAATTTCCTTAATTTTTCCGTTTATAAAATAATTGAACAATGA